GAGGGTCATAGGCCAAACATTGCCTTGTGACAACAAACCATCTCCAATCGATGATCAAAGGGGTATAGTATGAAATGTGAAGAATCGAAATAAAATAAGGTAAGATAATATGAAATTGTGAAAAATATGTGAAAAATGGTCTAAGAAAAAAAATTAGAAATTAAAAAAAAAAAACAAAAAAAAAGTGGGCTTGGATTGAAAAAAGAAAAGTGGGCCGGGACAAAAAAAAACTTAAAACACTAAAGCCTAAAGTGGGTTGGGCAAATGGAAAAGAACCACAAAAAAATAAAAAAAAAGTTGGGCTAGCCAGCAGGCTGGCTAAAGATGGCCAGCCGATTGGCCCTTTGACCTTTTTTTGTCCCGTGGAACCCATAAGCTATTTGACCTAGCACTTGGTTGGAGATGGTTTTTGGGTTATTTTCGGTCCTCTGGACCATTCGGTTAGAGATGGTCTAACATTATCACTTTTTATCGCAACATGTTTGCATATAGTGCAAACACGTACCGAAGAAAAACCGGCGTACCCAAACAAAGTAGACGCAATTCTTCTGCAGAAATAAGAGCTTCAGTCCTCAAGTAGGTGACTAAATGAAAAACCAGTGCAGGATATCCCAAGTAAATTAAACAAGAGAAGCTAAGAAGTGTGTCAGACCAAATGCTTCAAATGTGGTTAGTTCGAGCTCAGAAGCTTAAATTCTCGAAACTCTGCTCAACGTGCTTTACCGAGGTGAACAAGAAACGTTGTTGAGATTAAACATTGGAAATGCAGTTGAAGAAAACTTTCATTCACAAGATTGCCGTCAGCTACTCTTTGATTTTCGTCGATTGGAGAAATTTGGTTAATCAGGTTTGATCTAGTAACTTCTAAATGAACAAGCGTTGCACTCATTTTTCACAGCATGTCTGGATTGATCCCGAACTAAAGGCTTAGCGGAAAATTGAAACCAACGTAAATGAAGAGAAACCAATGCGAGAATGCGAAGAATTGTCCGACGTCGAAAAGCAAAGAGATTGTAGAGTCAATGACCATTGCATCTTAACCATGGAAACTGAGGCTGAATTGCAGCAAACAGAACTACAGTAAACCACAAATTAACACCAAAAAGCAATTGCATTTCTTTTCACCTTTGTCTAGCAATATTACCACATTCGTTGACGAGAAAGCAAAAGAAATGAGAAATGAAAAATGAAAATCGTTGAAAAGTTCATTGGCTAAATTCACGTGATGAGAGGAATGAACCGATGAAGAGTATGGAATATATCGCCACGTGAGAATTTCCTAGCTCATTCATTTCAACGACAACGACAACGTCAATGTGGATTTTATATACTTGTGTGGTTTGTATGTATGTCGGCCTCCTTGTCTTGTCCATCTTCCACAATCATTCGACACATGGCCAGCTGCTCCGAATGTTCAACTCTCTCCGGGGAGGAGAATTCTAATCTCTGAAAAATATTCAGATGATTCTGTAATTTCCCAATTTTACATGGCCCAATTGCAATTAAAAGTTTAAGCCTTTAAGTCCTTTATCTTTCTTAATTTCCAACCGAGGTCCCGAAAATCTCAAAACCTTAGACTTTTTCACTTTCCCCAAAATTCCATGTGAGCACTCTCAAGAGTGTCTTTTTCTCACCCAAATCACACTCCCTAAAACCCTAATTCCCCAAACCCTCTAAAAGCTTCTTAATTTCCCCTAATTTTCGATCGCCAAATCATGCCCAATTCCCTAAATTAGGGTTTTTGCGGCTTCCAATCATGTCCTCCGAAGAATTGGGTCTGGTTCGGACCCAGAACGGGCTCAACTCTCCGCTCGTGTTCCAAGACGAGAACTTGCGCTTCAATTGCGGAGCTCCGCAGCAGCGCCGGGTCGTGGACGCGGGTCCAAAGACCAGAGAGCTCACCGGCTTCATCGACGACCGGTTCTTCGCGCCACAGAGCTCGGACTTCCGGCGAAGTATGTATAGCGAGAACCCGGACCGGCGGGACCAGCCCGAGCCGCGAAACTGGAACTCGAACGGAGCTGATACGACGCCGAGTGCCGAAGGATCGGATGAGGACGACGATGATGACGAAGACGATGATGAAGGAGAAGGCGGGCTTGTCGGAGTGGAGAGCAGAAACAAGGGCATTGCTGGTAATAATGGGAGTAATGGGGAGGACAAAATGGGAAATGGGAAAGTTAAGCATCACCAGCAACAACACCATTCTTCTTTTGGTAAGAGAAGAGATCTTTGTGGAAAGTTTTGATCGTTTCATAAATTCGCTTCTAATTTTGGAAACCTTTGTCGAACGTTGTTTTTTTTTTTGTATATTTTAAGGTGGGACACTGATAGTAGGATCAAGTAGACAAGTGTTGGTGAAAGAACATAGTACTGGGCAGCAAATAGTGAACATCAACACAAGGGCTAGTCCCAGTGATAATCACAGTAATGCTCAGCAAGGAAGGCTTGGGAATTATCACAATGCCGTCACGGTTGCCGAGCCGGACGGTGACATGTATTACTCTCAGTATTTGCAGGGCTCTGAGGGGTCTGGTTCTGCTCCGAAGGATTTGGTTGTGGAAAATGGTTGTGGGTTTAGTGGAAGAAAGGATGTTATGTACTCGAGCGAGTCGGGAGACTCTTTGAGGGCCATTCTCTCTGATCCCGTGACGTGAGTTTTGTTTTTTCATATGCTGGTTTTGCAATTGATTTATCGATTTTTGGAATTGGTGACTGAGTCCTTTGAGGTGTGTTGAATTTTAGGGGATCTCTGATGGATGACGCGGTGATATTGCCTTGCGGACATTCTTTTGGAGGTGGTGGAATTCAGCATGTTATTAGAATGGTGAGTGCGTCCGAGCGAAACACAGATTTTTCTCTTACAGATGTAATCGTTTCTGTTTATCTTCAAGAAATTTGGGCGATGCTACAACAAAAGATGTATATATCTAAAACATCATTGCTTTCTTGCTAGTATAGTGTAATCTTGCAAGCTTTGTGCATTTTATAATCTCATAGGAACGTGAACTTCTGTCACAATCTCTAAAGCTAGACCATGCTAACATGTGTTCTCTGCTGTCATTTGGCTGTGTATGTGCATATGGTTCTACACCAAATCTATCAACATGCATAGTTACAATCTCAGATTAAAACTTCGAAACAAAGATAGTAATGGTCCACAGTCGAATTATTATTTTGTTGATAATGCACTGTATTGTCATTGCTTTGATTGCTTCCATTTCTTCCGGGTGCAAACAAGTTATTATATATGCATGTCATTAACTGTTTCCCGTGGCTGTCACTCAGTGAAGAGAGATCACTATTTTGAACCTTTTGCCTGCAAAGTATATCTGGTACATGCATGTGGGATTCTGTGAACCAATAAGAAGTTATGCCCTATCACTTGCAGATTCTTGTTTCGTTTTGATTGTCAAGTTGAAGTTTTATTTTCTTCCATAATTTCCAGAAAGCTTGCTACAGTTGTTCTCTGTCGATTTCAGAAGACTCAATTGCTCCGAATCTTTGTAAGTAAAAGTTTGTCATTAATGATTTATAATCACTTACTATTTCAAAATATATAAAAGGGATGAAAGAATTGGTGTCAGATGACAAACGTACAACATTTATTTGTTTCAGAAAACATTCTAGTATGACAGTTTTGTCTTACATGTGCAGCTCTTCGAGCTGCTGTGCAGGCATTCCAACGGGAAGAAGAGTTGCAGTTTTATCGCTCAACCAAAAGAAGAAGAGAAAGGTTTGACCAGGTTCGTCTTTTTCATGATTCAGAAACGGTTGCATCATTAGGTTTTTCAAATACTGAGGAAAATATTATCAAGACCTCGAAACTAAGTCCTTTATTTGCTCATGTAGGAAAAGGGTGGCTGTGGTGATTTAGTTTTCATGGATTCTCCAAGGGCTAGAGGTGTTCAATTTCCGTTTGCTGTGACTGACAGAGTTATTATAAAGGTTAGCAGACTAAAGTCCCAATCTTGGCTCTGGTTCTTATTCCATTGTTTGTTCTATCGAATAATTGGAGTGATATTGTCACAGGGGAATAAGAGGACACCACAACGCTTTGTCGGACGCGAGGCTGTTGTGACAACGCAATGCTTAAACGGATGGTTAGTCATATTTCTAGTTTTATTCCATTTGAACCTATATCAAGAAACGTTCCACCTAAATGGTATATATTTGCTTGCCTTACATACCTTTGTCAAGTGAGATTCTGGCTTAGATTTGTTTTGATTTATACAAATTGCCTCAACAGGTATGTGGTAAAGACATTGGATAATGCAGAGAGCGTAAAATTGCAGTATCGCTCCCTTGCCAAGGTATCTGACGACCCAACATCCAAGCCAATGTCGAGCAAGATGGCACCTAACTGGCTCTAGGCCGAAATACTTCGTTGGCAATATACCACGTTATAACACAACTTTGTTGTTTAAATTTTTGCCTCTGTTTCCGGCGTTGTAAATTATAGAAGCCTTGTCACAACTGCTCCGAGGGAAGCTCTAGAATTGTGAATTTAGATTGTAAATATATGTATCCATTTTTCTTTATGTTGAGCAACGTTGTATTTGAATCCTGTGTAAAACTTTGAAGGTTCATATAAATCATTTTTGGTCTGTGGGATCCCGGCGACATCCGATGTTTATGTTTTGCATTCTAAACTCGACGTAGGTACAGCCCGTCCGAGGATTTGGAAGATAAAATTAGCATTTCGTTTCGTGTCCGATGTTACCTCGTTCTGTCAAATTGGTTAGAAAAATCGTTGACTAGGCTATCTTTTGCTCGAAACTCGGCTTTTTCTTATTTTTGGCTTTAGTTCCATAATAACCTAGTTAACGATTTTTCTGACCAACTTGGCGAAATAAATTGCTTGAGACATGAAATTAAAGCACAAGGGCATCTGAACAAGAGAAATTCTATAATTGATCGTATCTTATTTGTAAATGAAATTTGAAAGTACTAAAATACGGGGACGGGAATTCAAGCTTTGGTGCAACGGGCGTGCATACTGTTTTGGCCAATTGGGCTAATCAACGCCTGCAAGGGCACCCCCTATGATTTACAAGTGTTGTTAAACAAAGCTGTTGTCAAATGTGGAATGAGTACAATTCATATCATTGGCAACAAACTGTAAGATGTTACAGAATGATGCGGAATTCAGCCAACAAGGAGTGAATTCAAAATAACCTGATATTAGACAACTAGTCGTAATCTGAAAACGAAACGAAAAATCTCGAGACTTGTCAGTATTCTGCAACTCTAGATAACAGCCGGCAGATGACATACGACCTCCATTCTAATGTTACAGACCCAAATATTCGATGAACATAGCCGGGCGAACCTAATCAACTTAATTAGACAAAGATTGAAGGGAGGAAAAACTGCAGTACAGCAAAGGTCAGAAACATGGTACATTTGTCGACAACAGGAAGTTGCAAGTCGAGTAAATTGAAGCTGCAGCAGCCCTAACAGCTAGTGCCCTCTCTGAGTTATCCAATATCAGTGGTCTGCATGACAAACAAAAAGATAAATGATGAGAAATACCAAATTTGCTTTAGTTTAGAATCATGAGTTACAATCTAACTTCTAAGCAATTTTTCGAAGAACTCAACTTAGATTTGTGAAAGCAAACGTTTACCTGGAATTATTTTCAGATGTTCCGATATGTTGAATGCCGGAAGCAGCGTTCCATTGGACAAGTTGCAGGCCCTGGTCACAGTGAAGCTGCATTTCTTTTACTTGGTTCGACCAACCTTCCTGAAATTTAAAACCAGTACGTTCTATAAGGAAATGAAAGAGATAAACAAACAATGAAATGAATCAAGGTTTCTTTTTAACACTCACAAGCTGTTCCTCTTCTTCAGAAAGTGCTTTATCCATTTGCTCAAACAGTGGAATCCATCTTGCTCGATGCATGTCTGCAATAGCACATCTGGAAAATCCACAGGCAGAATTTTTCGCGATCTGAGGATCGTTCTCCTCATCAGATGAAAATTCTTTTGCCAGCAATGATGGCAAATCTGTAGTTATAACGTCTCGTACTCTCTTCCTACTGCGTCGCAATGCTGCAGTTTACAAAATAAATTACTTATAAAAACAGGCCACATCAACAAGATCTACTATTGATATTACAGATAGAGCATTACCTGCAAGACGTCCTTTGACGTCAAGAAGAATAAGTCCCAACCACTGAGAAGCAATGGTAGCAGCTGCAAAAGAAAGAGGAAATAAATAATATCAGCTCTCACAACACTTAATTATTGATTACCAACTACTTAGACCACTTATAGTACTAAACATTCGAGATAAAGAGTTAAAAACTGACCTTTAATAGAGAGATAGGATGATGTTTCCTCGTTAGACAATGGGCTGTCATCCTCGGGCGCCTGCATTGATGATGCCAACTTCAATGATAGAGAATCTTCCTCTCTTTCAGGAATGGAGTGTGACGCAAGACTTTTACCACTAAGCCTCTCTATTGTGGTTCGTTCAACATCCCCTCTTGTATGCTGCCTGCCATCATAGGCAGTATCTGGAAGCTGATATTCGTGAGAGAAATGTATCCCGGAATCATTCATATTTTCAATGTCCTTCCTGTTGCAAATTTCACTAGTTCCACTTTTTGGATTGTTTGTTTGCTTGTTTCCCAGGCGGTCATTCTCCAGTCTTTCTAATTTTACAAGCGACTCTATTATTGAACGAACCTGTTTTCTGTTCCTGACATGGTTGATAATCCCAGGGTTCAGGTCATTGAGCAGTCCACTTGGAGCAGCAATTTTCGCAAACCTGTCCACTTGTTCCCTCTTTGCGCGTTCCATCTTCTTCTTGACCTCATCTTTTGTAGTCTTCTTCGGACGCGGTTTTGGCACCGGTATGCCTCCATGAGTGGATGATAGGAAACCATTTTGCTTCATCTCCTTCCACACTTTCATTGGATCTTTCTCTTCCAATGGGCCAGTGCAACTCCCACATTCAGAGGCAGCTCTTGCCTTCAAGGAATTGGTGCTTTTATAAGGATAAAATGGATCTTGCTTTTCTGAAATCGTAACATCTTCTGCGTTGAGATCCAATCCAATACCTTTCGCCTTTTCACATTTACTCCAATCCCTAAGCAAGGTGGACTTCTCAAAACTCTCGGTGCATTGCTGACTGTTGTCCAGAACCCTACTTTTGGCAATGCACGCATCAGTATTGAGATCAAGTGTAGATGCAGGATTGACTGGTACTGACAATGTTTTACTCCAAGACTTTCCTGCTTGGGATGCATCAACACCCAAAGTTATAGGAACTTCGGTAACTTGAGACATCTTTTCATCACCAGATCGAAATTGATCAATTGATTCCATGTTTTCCAACGATGTTGAATTATCGGTATGAATTCCTGTGGCATAAAGGGTAAGAGTTAAGCACTGAACCCCCAAAACCACTCCAAATCGCAAGCCAAAACAACCTCATGAAGTAAGAAATTCACAAATGATTTTCAAATACAATCCAAATGCAAATCCAATGAAGCTACTTACAACTTAAATCCTTGGACATCTCAGATAAATAATACCTTTCATTGGGTTTCAAATGCATTAAACTCTTACCTGTAAACTGAGTGCAATTTGCACAACTACTTGTAATTGAACAATTTGTACAGCACAATCAAAGCACACGAAACATAAAAACTTAATAGATTCACGAAATAACATTTTAAGCGCCAAATTTTGCCAAAAAAAAAAAAAAAAAAAACATACGTGAAAAGGGAGACAACATTCAACACCAAGAAAATCCATACAGCAACAAGAAATTTAAAAAATTTAAAATAACTAACCTTCGGACCGGGACACCGTCATAAGATCTCGCATTTTCGCCCGTTTGCGAGTACCCAGCTCACGTTCTTGTCCCATCTCAGTACTGATTCGCTTCTCCCCAGCAATCTAAAACGACCCAGATATTAAAAACCCAATAAAATGAATCAAACGGAGAACATCAATTCTAAAAATTTAAACTGAGCGCAGGATTAAAAAATAAATAAAAATAAAACCTTTGAATCGAATCTGGGAATCGGGGCCGACCCGTCCGAAACTCTTCCCGAATCGCGTGGATTCTCCATAACCTTCGAACCCAATTCAAAAACGAAACTTTCAGACCGACCCCTTTGCAAGAACTGGAAAATTTATCACATGGGCGCGAAATTTGAAAACTTTCCAACCCTAAACAAAAAGGGTTTATCCCAAAACGACCAGTCTTCGTTCTTCTGATGAGAAATCAAGAAATTCGGATTGGGAGGGAAGAGGGGTTGGTGGGGTTAGGGTTTTTGATTGGGGGCGCGTAGGAGGACAGATCTCTGGTGGGTATTTTTATTATTAATTCGATTTCGATAATTATCAAATTTGAATTTTTGCAAAGAAGAGCGCGCCCTCTCTCGCTGCTGACTGCGGCTATACAAATGTTGTTTGTTTTAAATTGTGTTTAGGGACGAAGCTTTTAAGATTAAACAACGAAAAACAACAATCTACCAAATCAGGGAATCCGTACATTAAAATTTGATCTAACAGCTACAAATAGGGATTTCAACGGCTAAAGTTACTATAACTTAAAGTGAACCCCTATTTGTAGCTATTGGATCAAATTTTAACGGCACATATTTTCTAATTTAGTGGATTTAGAGAAAGAGATCCATAAATTATCAATTTCCACAAACAACGTGGGGCGTCTTCAAATTCAAACAAAGGTTTTGGAAGCGGAGGGATCTCTGTTTGGTTTGGGCCCAAAAGGGGGAATCATCATGTTTTTCCCACGCCTTTCGAATTGGAGATTGTTTGGTTGCATGGATAGCTGGTCATAATAATTAATCATGTAATCTTGTGTTGGGGTAATGTTTGGTTTTTCTTTAATGAATAAAACTTCATTCAAGGAGACAAACATCTACTACGACCAAAGGTGCATCATGCATGTTAGAAATGGATAGGTTGACATTAACAATGGAATCCGCAACGAAATTAGCCTCCTGGTAGATATGCTTCTACTTAACACAGTGGAATGAGGAAGCCATCCATCGAATATCTTCAATAATCGATCTCAATCTCAAGGGCCTCTCACTTAGTGTTGGGGTTATGTGGATTGTAATAATTAGGACTATTTGCATCACAACTTTATAATTTGACCTCAAATTGTGTATTTAGCAACCTTAATTAGAGTGTATTAAATAATTCTCAAAACAAATATATTTGTAAGTTAGATCAGTTGGTAAAGTCAATATATCTGTCAAATTGAACTCAAATTCGAATTTTCTCCCAATAAATTAAAGTAATTTAGAATAATTCATCATTCCTTATACAAGACAAAATGATCAATAATTCATCATTTCATGATGAAACTTCTCTATCCGGATTACCAATAAATACAAAAATCCAAATTTATAAAGTACAAAATACTAAAGTTGATTGATTGCGAAAAATTCAAATTGACCACCCAAGCTCAAGAATTAAAACCTAAAATTATACAGAAACATGTGTTGTTCAACAAATAATGGCACAAATACATTGTTGATTACGGGAAAATCAAGAGATCTGTATAAACACACAAAGAAAAGACAATATAATATTTTTTTTTTCGTAAAAAAAATAATACATTAATGTTCGGATAAGGGAAAGGGCTAGCGATATGATCCACAATATCTCAAAAGCATTCCATAGTTATCAAATATTTGTACAACCCATCACCAATTGCAGCAAGTAAAGTCACAAACAACACAAGTCATGTTCAGAATCCCGATTCTCTTTGTGAGGATCATGAAATTATTTTAAATATTTTTATTTAAAATTAGGAATTTGTTATTGGCATTCCAAAAATTTCATTCTATACTCCATACTTTGTACAAATGAAATTTTTAGAATGCCACTGCCCTAAAATTAAAAGACAAATTGTACTTGACAAAATTAAAGACAAACAATACTTGACATTCTCACCAAAAGGATCCGGAGAGGATCCTATTGGTCATGTCTAGTCGACCTTAAACTACTTGCAAAAATGTAAGATAATTCCATGCTTGTAGCACAAATAATGCTTAGAGTATCTCCAATGCAAATGTCAAAATATCCGATGTGTCAATTTTTACATAACATAACGTGAATTGGCAACAATTATAGTTGTTGTCAACTTTGAATAGTTTAATTTAGCATCTTCGGTGAAGAACAAAACTTAAAAAAAGATCAAAGTGCCACTTCAGAAAAAGTAATACGAAAAACCTAAATCTTAATTGAATAAACCCGTAAGTTCAAATATAATTAAACTTATAAACAAACAAAAAAATAAAACGAGATTCTAGTAAATTGTTTCCCTCTTCTTGATAAGTTGTACAATTATAAATCATGAACTAAATGATTCAACTTAAATGAATTATTATCCCTTTTTTCTTGCTTTCTTCTGGGAGGAGATCAATCAATTTGGTATAAATTTACAAATGAGTTGGAGAGGATGTGAATTAGCATTATTGGGCCTAGGCCTGCAACAACCAACAATTCTTCAGCTGCGATTGGGCCTTCTCCCTGAAACTGCTCACCGGAACCAAACAGAAATGGGTGCAGCCCAAGCCCATACCGAGCCCGAAGCCCGACCCGTTATTCACTTTACTCGTCTTCAACAAGTAACAGGCGGGCCCACTCTCCTTCCCCTTCCCCTGCACCACTAACCCCCACGCCTTCGTGATCGCATCCCCTCCGTCATCTTTACCGTTACCCTCACCGCCACCGTTATCATTGTCGTCCAGTTCTTCGACGAAGATAACGCCGTCGGGAAACGGCGCCACTCCCGCCTCCCATTTACGTCTGAGCCCGTCCCAATTCTCCTCCTCCACCCGCTTCTCCGTCTCCAGCCTCGGCCTACCGTCCGTACTACTCCTCCCGTACACATTGACCAACAGCGGCGCCTCCCGGAGATTCTGGACTATCTCCACCACCGACTCCCTCATCCACGCGTCCAACTTCTCATACGCCGTCGCCGCAGCCTCGCTCCCTTTTCCACCGCCGCCCCTCCGCTCCCGCCCCACCGTCTCCAATCCCACCCGCGCCATGGCCACTACCGAATTTCCTCTTTTCCCCCGGGATCCGCGGATCATCGACACGCTCCGATTGGAAGAAGGGCTGCAAACGCAAAGACCGTTCTGACGGCGGTGATCAAGAACGGCGCTGTTATTTCCTCCGAATTGGATTCCAACCGATGCCATTCGCAATCACAGAAGAAACTGCGTCGTCCGATCAAAAACCAGTGTTTCTGAAAACGTTTTCCAAAACGTTTTCTTGCCGCCGACGTCTTTGAATCCGAGTCAGGTTGTTGCTATGGTGGAAGCTCGAGCTGTTTCTCTTATATACGCGGCCAAGAGCGGCGAAGTTGGAATCCAAATCCAAAACTGACGCTTGGAAAATAATTTTCACGTTTCCGAGTCCGGATTGGACTCAAAAGAGTCGGGAGAGTCGGTTAAAAGGGGGACGATTCGGAATTTCCGAATGGTATTTCGTTCGGCACGAGCGGGCGCGTGCTCGGATGCTCCGTCCCCGCGCGGTGCACGTGGACGCGGGGTTTGAATTCTTGGCGTGGACCGCATTCTTTTGATCTGGGCCGTTGGCTGTGATGACTTCTTGTCAGATCAAGGGTGCTGGACCTTTTTGTAATAAAAGGGGGGGTGGAAGGGTCCCACCTGGCGACTGGGAGGACGTGGCGCGTTGAAAACTTGAAAGTGCATGGAGTTCGGACGCTGGCACAGTCCGGACATCCTCTCCGTGGAAAACTCGGCCAATGAATCCAGAGAGAATTGACACGTTGGCATAGCTCTTGGGATTTATATATCCACGTAGACAGAATAAATCCACCTGGAATTACGGGGCCTGTGCTTTTTCCATTGGCCTCAGACCGTACGACCCCAACATATTTCTATGGCTGATTTAAGGTCGTGTCCCATTAAATTGGGATCATTGGGTGTCTCCGTCATAGCATATGTTAGGCTTCGTAGTGTTACGCTGTATTTGTCGCATGTTGATTTTAAAGTGGAACCCAACTCTTTTTTCGTATACGTTTTCTATCATTGAAAAATGTAACACCGTGACAATTTAACAAGGATACTAAAAAATTCATTTGAAAAGTAGCTTATGGTTCAACATGTTTGATAAAGAAAATTCAATCTCTTAGTTGGGTATCTCGCTGAATTATAATTTAATCGTGACGATATATAACCTAGGTTGGAAGTTCTTAAATTACGAAAGTAACAACGTATATGTTAGTGATTGCATCACGTTGTGTGTCTACCTCTTTAATATCTTGATTTTGGACATGACATATAAAGTCCCCATACGTTAAATAATTACAACACAAGAAAAGCATGAAAAAATTAAAAACAGTACTCTGATATTGATATAGTAGTTGAAAGTTGACTTGAAGGAAGGCCGCATGTCAGCATGTAGGTGGGTGCTTCAAGGAACTTGGTCAATCCCCTCAAATAAGACCCATATGATGGACTATTGACAAAGACTTTGAACAAATCAAAGCTCTAAATTATGGCATTAACACATGCATGGTGCCTTTTATATATAAAAAAGGGAAATGATAAATACATTCTTTTTATCCTTCAACACACTTTTATTTAATTATGTTTAGAGTTTACTTCTGACTTATTCAACCTGATGTTCATAAATAGATAGGAGTGTGTGATAAGTTAAGAGTGAATTCTCTTAATCACTTGACTCTTAAGGTTACGTCTCTTGGCTCGGAACTCCGTATGGTTATTTTTTATGAAGCTTAATTGGAAGTCCCATGGCTGGGTAGGGCAGTGGTTCACGTCTTATGGGTTCGTCCTTGATCATTGGTGTCCAAGAATAATTCGTAGTTAGATGATGAATGATGAGCAACACTTCAATTCTTGCAAATTCTATCCCGGGGCATATCCGTGGACCTGCTCCAAATGGAATGTACGTGTACGGCGGATATGATGATTTTGATGAACTCTCGAATCGTGATGGATCAAACTTGTTTGGATCTTCAAATATCTTATCGTCCATGTGTGTTGCAGATGCCACCCAAAAAACCTGTGATCATAACGTGCGATAAACTTTTGTTCGGCGAAGTTCTGAGTTCAAAACGAATACGAGACAATGTATCACACATGATATCAACGAAGTTCTTAGCTCTATAGTACCTTATATCCCTTGGGGATATCAAAGCCATCAAAGGTTGTGTCTCTTGAAGCACATTTGAAGTTGCCAAAAGCTGGAGGGGTCAATCTCATGAGCTCTTGGGCCACTCTCCATGTGTGCTTCATCATTTGGATTTCACTCCATCTAAGCTTTCCATCATCCCTTGCTTCCACAGCCTTCACCACTTCCTCTTGCTCTGTCATGGTATGTAACGTGCACATCAAATTACTAAACATATCTCATCATGCCAAATATTTATACCGTAACCCAGTTTTTTCAAGTAGTTAAGGGTGTGTTTGTTTGACATCCCTAGCTCTCACTAGACTGGATTGGACTAGTATTTAGTGTAGTCCAACGTTTGGCGCAGTTCTTTAGATATAGACCCTTACAACTCTTATTTCCTATATAAAAACCCACCTAATTATAAACATTCAAATAAAACCCAAATTTAAAAGTGATTGTCATGTAGGAAAGTAATTGACCTATTAATACAAAATATTTACAACTTGTACCACAATATTCAAAATAAATCAACAAATATTATTACTCACCTTAATTACAATGAACAAATAATTTATTGCATTTTATTACCCCTAACACACACATATATACGTTCAAATGTATATAGTACTACCATAAGCTCAATATATATATATATATATATAGTTTACCTATATATATATAGTACTACTATACTTTCAAATATATATATATATAGGTAAATTATTTTACATACATTGGGTTTGCTATGTTATGCAGGTAAATTATTTTGCATGTATTTATGGAGGTACATTATTTTGCATGTATTTTGCATGCATTGGGTTTGCTATGTTATGTAGGTAAATTATTTTGCATGTATTTTACATATAGTGGGGAAATTATTTTGCTTTTTTTTTTAAGCAATCTAACATTTTAAAATTCGAATAATAGGTGCACTAAATCAAATAACATTTTTTGTAGGTAAATTATTTTGCATGAATTTTTACATATACCAGGCATGTTTTTTTTTAATTTTTTATTTTGTTATATATATATATGTGTCCTACACTTATATGTAAAATATAATTTGTTGACTTAACTAATAATGTATTATTACATATATTAGGCATGTTTTTTTTGTTATTATATATTAGGCAATCAATGTATTATTTTCTATTTTCGTAAAATCATTAATTCTCCCTTACAATCTGTATAGAACTAATTGTGTGCATCAAATATTCAAATAAGGGTGTTTTGGGCATCAAAAATTTTTAAATGTGTAAAGTCAAATATAATTAATGAATTTTTTGATGTGGAATCTAGTCAATGAGTTTTATTTGAGTAAAAAACTTATGGTGGGTTTTATGTGGAGAAAATTAAATTTCAGAGACTAAAATCATATTTTCATAACTTAAATGACGCTAGCCCGGACTCGTTTCGACTCCAAACCTCGTTAACTGTCGTTAGCTAATCCCGTCTGAAAGCACGGTATTAGCTAGGACTACTTGTCGTCATTGCCCCTCTTGTCTTTCCCAAATCCTTCTCAAGCAGCCATCTTCAGTGACCGCATCACCAACGACCTAAAATTTTCGAATCCGAGACTATCCAAAATTAGATTATCACCCATGGAGTTGGACAGGAAAAGAGGCAGAGGGAAGAGAGAGAGGGATTTGGACGGAAAATCAAAGGGGAAAGAGAGAGGGAGCTGAACGGGAAACTCGCCATGGCCGCCATTCGAATTGGCGATCCTAAGCTTTAGAGGGAGGAGTTGGGGTTTTTTGGGGGAATCAGGAACTTGAAGAGCAACGCAACTTGGGGAAACAGAGGGGGGGAAATAGCAAGTGATTGGAGGTGAAATGTGACAAAAAAGGGAATAGGGAAAGAGACAGTGGCAGAGAAAGGGGAGAGGGGAGGGATGCAGCGGGCAGACAAAAAAAATGAGAGAGAAGATGATTAAGAGCTTGACCAAAATAAAAAGACGGAAGATGGTTCTAGAAAGGAAAAGGATAATTTAATAATAAAATATTAGTATATATAGATTAAATTAATGATAAAATATTGTAAATGTAAATTTAATAATATAATATATGAGTCATGTTTTTTAGTCCTACACAGCACCAAACGTTTTACTAAATCAGTCCAGTTTAGTCTATTCTAAGCCAATCTAGCTTAGTCCCTGAAGCTAGTCCAAACCGAGATAGTCCGATACAACAAACGCACTCTAAGGATATTCAACCTCATATGTAATATTAGACCTCAATTGATTTATAGCAACTGATTTATAATGTTAATAGTTTAATAAATTAAGAGCATTCTGCATTTTTTTAATGTTATGTAGCAACTTATTCGTGGCTCCATAGATCAAGTAGTTAAGAATATTTAGTTCTTTTTTTTTTTTTTTTTTTTTAATTTTTAAAAAGCTTTCCGTTTAATGATAATGCTTATGTTAGTGTCCCTCCCAGCGGGGGAACTGACTTGTCCCCTGACTTACCATTACAAAATTTTACCGTCCGAACGTTATAATCGAAACATCATTTAAAGATCATATATGCAAAAAATTATTTAATTTTGAGATCTTTTAGTCATTCATATACATAAAACAAATGAATGGTTCATCATAAAGATGCTACTTGTTACCAAAACCGTTGATTGGTTTAACACATATGGATGATCAAACGATCTCCAAATTAAATGATTTTTGGCAGATATGACATCTAGAAAATAATAATAAAAAGAATGAATTGTACCAATTATTGTATTCATATGGTAAATGTTCGTTAATCGTAAGTGAGAGGACGCAATCATAATCCTCAGTTTAACATGTAATTTTGTACTGCAACTAATTTGTAGTTTAATAATTCAAGTAGTTAAGATTTCACGATGTTTGAAATAATTAATTAGATATCAAAGTTTCATTACCTTGAAGCACCTCACGACGAGTCTTGGGGTCTGTGGAAAGGTGTCTTATAAAAAGGCTGAGGAGAATTGTGGTGGTGTCATGACTACCAATTATCAGAGTGATGAAATTGTCAAGAATCTCCTCCTCTTGGAGAGGCTCACCATCTTCATCTCTCAAACGGAGGAACACTGAGATGATGTCGTTCTTTTGGGAGGGCTTGTTTTTCTCTTCCTTTTGTCGATTTTGCATGAGTTTTGTGAGGACCTGTGATATCCTGGCACGTGCTTGCATGGCTCTGTAAATTATGGTCCCCGGCACGTTCAATGGAACTGCCCATAAACCCTTGGTGGCAATGGTAAAATCTTCAAGCAATGCATCTTTCTCTGGCCCTTCTGGTAGTCCAAAAAACAAACTGCAGGTCACCTTGAATGTTATTTTCTTCATCAAACCCACCATTTGTACCAAATCCTTGCCATCGAGCTCCTGTATAATAAGTCAAAAGTTATTAAGTAAATTGCGTTGCATATATATGTTGTCCAATATCTAATAAATAGGGTGTTGGATTTCCATCATGCATCTTGGGTTCGAAACTCTTCATTTCCTAATATTGTATAATAATTTTGAACTCTATTCCCTCCCCTTAACAATAATAATTCTTTTAAAAGAAAACTAAGCAAACTGCGTTAGTCCATGACGTTGCAATTAGAAGCAACAATGCATATCACGTTAACTAGCATTTGGTTGCATCTATTTTGAAAGAGGTTTCGAGTTTGAATATTCCTTCATGTTAATTTTAAACAAAATAGTGTATCAAGCTAGCTAACACATATGTTACCTGAAACAACTGTTTTTGGACTAGAGAATCGATTTCACCCACAAATCTCTGAAGGCTTTCTGGTTTTAAGAAGCTCATCAGTGCATTCCTGACAAGTTTGTGCCTAGACCCGGAAAGCTCAAAGATGCTGTGCTTTCCCAAAACCTTGGCTGCAGTTGCGACTTGGTTGCCTGCAATACCATTGTCACCTCCGCTGAACACAAACCGGTTTCCGGCTTGGCCAGTAAAAACCACCGTTTTGGAGCCCATGAGTGAGGTTTTGAACACGGGTCCATACTTGCGGATTCGGGTTTGGATCCACTCACCAGTTTTGTCCTGGTTTTGTGCCCTAATGAAGCTTATGGACTCACCAATGAGAGGAAGACCAAATGACCCTGGTGGAAGCTTCTTGCCCAGGGAAGAAGATGAAGTTTTAAACTTGAAATATCCAGCAAAAATGGCTATTAGGGTTAATGCTGAAACTGTGATAAACTGTAGTAAAGAGAGTTCCATTATTAATGTTTACTGAATTGAAGAAGATGGTTAGGGACATGATGGAATATATAGGGCTAATTAGTTCCGTAAACCTTTGCAGTTCAAGCAGTTAAGAGTGCTTAACGCTACGCTCCAAGTAAGTCGCGTTAAGGTTGAATTTTTAACAAGCACAAAATGTGCATGTTAATTTATGAGAAGGTCGTCCAAGCATAAAAGATAGAAACTAAAGAGTCTTCTTCTTGTATTGTACGTAAATTTGGCAAGGAATAAAGTTGGAAATCTCATGCTCTGGCCAGAGATACCAATGCAAATGATCCAATAATATTGTCCATTTCTCTTGTCTGCCATCGATGATGATTTTCAGAAAAAAAAAAAAATGACACCTTAATTACCATATGTCATGATCATATGGCACTACTTTGTTCACATCACCGATGATCATTGGTGAAAACAACGTTTGATCATGTACATCTGAAATCATGTTAAACAATATTATTATTGTTTTAATAGAGTTAGGACTAGATTGGGGTTTCTGTGTTTTTTTTTCAAAATTGTTCATGTTTTGCTGTGAGAATAAACAACTGTAAAAAAAAAAGGTAAGTGTTTGGTAAAAGTGCTTTTAGCAAAAAAAGATGAGGGTAGGATTATCAATGTGAAAGTTGTATTAACTAGTGTTGCTCACCTGCCTCTTAAAAAAAATCGTTTTTATTAGAAGCATGTGTAGAACTGCTTATGCTTTCTGTTGTTTTGGACTCATGAATTTGAAAAAAGAAAAAAAAGAACATTTTTTTTTAATTTACCAAATACAATTAAGAGCCCAACTTTTTTAAGAAGTTACTTTTAATAAAATTTAAGTAACCTCAAACTAGTCCTTACTCAGATAGTCATTTTATAATCGGGTAATTTCAATTCTTATAACATATGTATCTGAATTTTTCACTCCAAATAAGTTGCTTCGTTGGTATTGTTAGGGATCAGCCGAATCAGCCCGCCATTTGGCAATGCTATTGGGCTTCTGTAACAATGTGGAGGCCTATCGAAGGGTTAGTTTGGGATACCAAACTAGCCCTAAGGATGGGCCCAATGCGGAAACATTTATCTTGAAGCGTGGGCTACCATAAAATCGCACCCAACAATATTGTTGCAGTTGGTAGGTCGTAGGTGCATGGAAAAAAAAAATCAAATTCTAATCCGTGTCCAAAAAACAAAATAAAGGGTACGTTTGAAAGTACTTTTAAAATGACAGAAAACATTTTTAGAGAAGTTATGTGCTTTTTTCAGGAAGCACTTCAAATGTTGTTTCAGAATTCACTTGCGTTTTTACTAAAAATCGGTTGCAAAAATATTTTCATTAAAAAAACTTTTAATTATTTTAAAATACTTCCAGACGAAACCAAATATATTTTATATCCTATTTGCCCCTTCTGCTCACAGTAAGGTGGACGGGTATATTGATTCATAAGGACGGGTAAGTAGAAGGAACGGTGGACGTAAAACTTGAACTGTTGCACACGTGGGTAGCTGGAGGCCCTCCAACTAAATTCTTAATTGAAAAGGTAGTAAATATTGAGGACTTGTTAGCAACTTTTGGAAAAGAATATGGACTATGAAAAGTGGCTATCTTGGTACCTTGCAAACCAAGTGACACACTCTTTGTGTTAATGTTTCCAAGCATGCTATGGAATTTGGGAGGATAATTCTCACGATCCATTTCTCATCAAGTACATTTTGAATAGGTTGAACTCATCTTATGTCTTCTTTTATAAGTATAAAAGTAGAGGGGGATACGAACTCGGAACATAGGGTACAAAGATGAATGTTTTTAACTACTTTAGCTGCAAGCTCCTTACCAGCTCATTGCATGCTCATTTATTGGCATAAGTAATCCGAATCATGGAAAGTTTGTCATATAAGACTAAATAGAATCATAAAGTATAACTGTTAGATTTGCTTTGACGTATAACATAAATAAGGAATTTACGTGTTTTAATACGAGTGAATTGGTTATGTCACATGTTCATATTCCACTACCATACAAAAGATCTTAAATTATCTAAATTTCTAATCAAATTCGGGGTCGACATGGAAATTTTTACAAGGGTAGTGTTATCTACACACTGTTTTTCATTTTCTACACATATTTGTTAATTTTTGTCCATTATTTTTTTTCTTCAATTTATTCAATTCGACAATCGAAAATTAAAAGATGTGTGTGAGAAGTAAAATAAAAACACGGATGACACCATCATTTTCTCAATTGCAAAGTTAAGTTGGAGAAGGTGAGATGTGATCACAAGCTTTAACAACCTCCACAAAAGTACCACCTACCACTTGGCCAAGACTTGAAGGCAATTGTCAGCTGAAAATCTCACACCCCAAGATATATACAGCCTTCAAACATCAGTTACATGCAATCTCATTGTTTTTTCAGACAAACATCTCCACCTCCTACCTCCATCTCCCCAGCTTCCTGCTAATCATACCCCCAAATCACAAAGCCAGTAAGAGTAAGAGCTCCCTGCCTCTCTGCTAAATTGCTAATCATACCCCCTCTAATGCTTATTATCCCATTTATTTTTAATTTATTTTTTATATATTTTTTTTGGATCTTTCATGACTAAATTTTTAATCTTTGCGTTTTGCAGTGGGCACTGAAGTTGTAATGGTGGATGAGGTCCCTTTTCCTCCTCAGATCACAACCACCAAGCCTTTATCTCTGCTGGGTCAAGGTAAAGCCTTCATCTTATACATGCTAATTAATTACATATCTGGGTTTATTAAGTTAAGTAAATCAAAAAATTACTGATGGGTAAATTGGGATTTTTGCAGGAATTACCGACATAGAGATTCACTTTCTTCAAATTAAGTTCACAGCAATTGGGGTTTACCTGGATGCTGAAATTGTGTCACATCTTCAACAATGGAAGGCCAAGAAGGCAAGTGAACTCGCAGAAGATGATGACTTCTTTGATGCTCTTGTTTCTGGTAAAGTTTCAATCTTTAGCTTTCATATTTAATTTGGCTAATACCAATTTGATAAACGCGTGTCGTTGGTCAGGGTAGTGTGCCATGCGGCTCTAAATTAGAGTAGTTTAAAATATCTGTCGTGCTAGTCGGTCAGGGTATTGTGCCGTGCCACTCTAAATTAGAGTAGTTTAAAATATTTGTTGTGCTAGTCGGTCAGGGTAGTATGCCGTGCCGTTCTAAATTAGAGTAGTTTAAAATATCTGTCGAGTTTTAAGTCAACCCAATTCGTCCCTTGATCAAACTGTGCGTTGCATGTAGCTCCTGTCGAGAAATTCATTAGGGTTGTGGTGATCAAGGAGATCAAAGGGTCACAATATGGAGTGCAGCTTGAGAGTGCAGTGAGGGACAGATTGGCAGCTGATGACAAATATGAGGAAGAGGAGGAGGAAGCCTTGGAGAAAGTTGTCGAGTTCTTCCAATCAAAGTACTTCAAGAAGGACTCCGTCGTCACATTCCATTTTCCTGCAACTTCTAACACTGCTGAGGTACATAATCATCTTACATCGGAATCTTGACAAATGTACGATATAGGAAAACTAACGAAAAGTCCTAAAAAACTATAGTTTCAAAGAAAAATGACTAATAAATGTGTAAGTGAATAATACCAGGAAAGGTAAAAATGTCATTTTTTTGTTAAAAATGAGTAGTACCGGAAGTGTTTTATTAAAACTTTGATATAAATTGCGGTGGTTAAAAATCGTTTCTAGCTGTTGTTTAATTTGTACTTGGTACTTTTGTGTGGATGCAGATTGTGTTTAGCACTGAAGGGAAGGAAGAGTCGAAGATCAAAGTGGAGAACGCAAATGTGGTGGAGAATATCAAGAAATGGTATTTGGGAGGGACGAGAGGGGTGTCTCCTTCGACCATCTCCTCCTTGGCCAACGCTCTCTCGGGTGAGTTGACCAAGTGAGTAGACTAACTGAATCTGTAGTTCTGGGGATTTGCAATTGCAAGGCACTTTTTGAAGTTTGTGAAGTGGAAAAACCTGCTGTTTCTTGTGCTGTTTTATGTAATAAAATCAATTATATGTAGAGTTCTGGCTGTTCAAATGTCTTTTGCTTATGGAAAACGGATTGAGATCCTCTCCGGATCTCATACTCTGGAGCCTTCGAACCAAGCAATCTGGACCGTTCAATTTAAGTTTTGCAGTTCTCGTTAGTCATCTAACTGGCTCACCTAACACACAATCTCTCTCTCTTTTGAATGCTTCGGATTGCTTGATTCGTGGGCTTCGGAGTGTGAGATCTAGAGGAGATCTCAATTCATAAAAATCATACATGAAAATGAGTTATTAGTTTGAAATACTGTCACAGTGACGTACCTAATATAGGTAAGTCTCTCTCGTAAAGGAGAACAAGATCTTCACCATTGAAAATGACTACTCCATCCTTTGATTGCCCTCAAACCTCTTAAAATCTGATGATTAATATCAAGAAAACTTATTGGTAGCACATTGTTGATCATCTTGCTTATAGAGGTCGACTAATATGATAACTTATATGAACATAACATTGTTGATTAGGAAATGGGCCGGGCTTCTGGGCCTAAATCCATGTTCGGGTCGGGCTTGAGTTGGACTATTTTGGGCCGAGCCGACTTCAATTTCAAAGTCTCAGTCCCACCTGCCTTATACGGGCCGAGTTGGACCTTGGACCAAGTCCGACGCGTGAGCCCAAGAATTAATTTTATTGTTTTTTTAATACAATGATTGTGAAGGATGATTGGCGAAAGCCAAGAGTCAATGATAATTAGGTATTAAACTCGGCGTTCAAAGGAAAACTTGATACTTTCCAGTCTTCCACCTACGAATGTAGAACAATATCACTATATCACAGTACTAATGACAAGATTTAATTCATTATCAACCATATCCATATGAGCTTCAAGACTTGAATAAAAATCGGCCTACGAATATAGAAAAATATCACTACATCGCGTAATACTAATGACAAGATTTAATTCATTATCGGATAGTAAGTAAATTGAGCACATCCCAATGAATACACAAGTATTGTCCCATAGTAGTAAGGAGCCGGCAAAACTAGGTTGTCTCTAATTGGTTGGTTCATGCGGCACTAAAGCTAGGAAGATAGAAACTAAACTTAATGGAGTGAGGATCCTCGCCGGATCCTTCAATTATATCGGTTCATCGTACCTTGTGCGGTTAGTTTTTGTCAAGTACTGTTTATATTCAATTTTAAATAAAAAAAATTACAATAATTTTTAACCGCATTATGTAAAATGAACGGATGTGATTAAAGGATCCTCACAAATAGGATCCAACGAGGATCCTCCTGAAACTTAATGGAACACCTCGTAGTCATGCAACTACATGCAAAAGATAAGGCACCTCCTGCCAATTCCTAATACGATCGGACCAGAAAATATAATTGGTCTAAAGTGACTTTGATTCACCTGCTTAACTTTGTTATATAAACATCCGATAAGTAATCAGTATTTCATAATAGTGTTCCTCGAGTTTCAATACCAAATATTGACTTGGCAGTAAATTAATCTTTTTTTTTTTTTTCATCAATTGAAAGGGTAGAGAATTTCATTCCTTAAAAGAACAAGTCAATATATGAAAGCAATGCAACAAAAGGCTGAAAACATCAGCCAAACAAACCAATACACTCTTCAAGAAGAAGATCAGTAATGAGGTCTGGTGGTTCCTCAAACCATGAACAAAGTGAACTGCTGAAGAGGGTAGTACAAACTAAGCAGTGAGCAATCTCATAGGGTTGACGACACATATGAGTAGGAAAAGCTCCAGTGACCCTAGTCATTAACGCTTTGACGTCCTCCACAATAGGCCCAACATGAGGCGTATCGCGCGAGGGGAAGGGTAAAGTAATCTTTGGAGATAGGTATATTTGATATCAATCGGGTTCGAAAGAAGAGGGGATGATGGTCCAGTGATAAAATGATGCTTAAGAAAATGCCCTCAACTCCCCATTGCTTGAAAACAAGGGTTTGAAATGAGGTAGTGCAGGAATCGAACTGCTGACTTGTGGGCCAATAAAAGGTGAAGAAAGGAGGGGAAAAAGAGAGTTTGTGATTCCATTCTGTGAGCACAAAAATGATGATGCCTTTTCCTTGTGTTCCATATACAATTGCCCATCAAATCAAACAGGGAAATGCAGCTAAGGAAACATGCATACGTTTTCATTAGCGGATTTGGATCTTTTCCTGAGCTCGTTTTTATGAGCGGATTTGGATCTTCTCCTGAGCTCAGGAGGCTCAGCCTCCTGAGCAAAGCATATGGGCTGTTAGATTTTGATCTAACGACTACAATTATTATAACTTTTAAAATGCCTCTTGTTTATAACCGTTGGATCAAAATCCAACGGCCCGTGTGTTTTGCTTAGGAGGCTCAACCTCCTAAGCTCAGGAGGGAGATTTACACTTGAGATGTCTTTTAACATCATGAGAAGGACTAACACTAGAGTTATCACATTGAAATATAGAATAAGTAACACCAGACCAGTTCTAAAAATAAAATTTGGGTTGTGATTTGAAATGGAAACCTTTTCATGGGACTTGCCCAAGAATAGAATTTACATCCTTAGAGCATTTGTGAAGGTGTTGTCAAATCTTAGGTAAAGATGCCACTATGCATGTTTCAAAAATCTTTCCAACCGAAATGTTATTTGCTAATTGGATTTGGAGTCTTTGTAATTAGGAATTAAATTTGACATCAACGCTAAATTTATTTTGTGTTAGTTTAACGGTGAATCCCTTATTTCACTAAAATTTCATCAAATAAAAATTTTGTTTCAACAATTATTTTTAATAAATACAACCATTTAAAACTCTTTGTTAATAAAAAAAAATAATATTTGATAATATGGTTGGAGAAACATAAAATTTGACATAAGACTGTAGATTGCCACGTCAATTATTAGTTATAATATGACACTCCCCTGTACAATAGAAAACCTTACTAGGATACAATTATTACGGTATCTGATTAACCAATCATACACTGCTATTCATATTAACTTAATCATATTACAATATGATTAACTTATAATACTACAACAAGTATATCACGTTACATGAAAGTACATTGCCTAGCATCTCATACAGCTAAAATGTAGTCCACGAATAAAATACAAAAATATAGCATTCTACAAGCTAGCCAGCCTCATCAACAGAGATTATCACATCACCTTGTCCACCTGAGGATACATTTCCAGCATGTCTAGCACCACCGTCACCAACATTTTCGGCCGAATCCGAACTGCCCGCAGCCGGCGGCTCAAGCAACGAATGGCGGCAAGTCGGGCACGACGAATGTGACAAAAACCATGTGTCAATGCACCTGGCATGAAATCCATGCTTGCATTTCGGCAGCAGCCTGACTTTCTGCCCGTCCATAAATTCTCCAAGGCAAATTGGACAATCCGTGGCAGCTATATTTGGTCCAGTCCCATATATCACGATGGGAATCTGACGCAATATGCTTTTTTTAAGCCCGGTGACCGCCAACCGCGCCGCCGTCTCGTCTGGTGTCTCAGAAGAGAACCTTCTGCTGCATCTCAGCGCACACCGGACTATTGAGTTTAGTCCCAATGCAAATATCAGAGCGCACAGCAAGGCTGCCAGGATGATAACCATGTTGCTGTCAAAATTGGCTTCATTGGCGTACGTACCACGTGTCCCGTTCCCATTGGATTCATTGGGGTGATTATCACGTGTCCTGCCTCCATTGGCTGGTGATGGTGATGTAGTTGATATTGGGTCTAGAAGTAGGCGGCGTGGACGGTGGTGATGAAGAGATGCCATTGATTGATGAACTTTTAAGGGTTGCTTCAATTCACCAAAATTAACACAGCGACTTGTAGCTCAGTTGGTTAATAAAATTTACTTCGTACTATTGAAGTTTCAAGCTCGATTTTCTCCTCTTCAATATCACTTATGTCAATTAAAACATACAATTTAATTGATTGAGAGCATTAAACTCAGGCAACACAAAATTATGAGTTCAATTTTCTCTCCTCCCCTAATATCGCTTGTATCAGTTCACCGAAACTAAGAGAACCCAATTTCCTCTACTTGAAGATAAGACAAAAGATGGTACCTTTTTGGTGAAACTAGGCAAATAAGCTTGGAGTTTGACGTCTCCATGGATTTTTGGCGCCAAATCGAACGACAAAGGAGACTGAGAGGAGGGAATTCATCTTCCCCATGTACAGGGCAAAGCTTTCTCTTATTTTCTGCTCCACTCTACCTAGCTGAGAGAGAGAGAGAGGCCTTTTGGGTTACTAGTAATTTCTGTAAGGATTCCAATTAGATAAAAGGACTTTCAATAAAGCATATATAGATGGTGTCTGTGAGACTGATGAGGGAAGAGGTGGTGAATATTAAAAAGGCTGAAACTTTAAGGTAAATTATCTCTTTTACTAACAACCCGATAACCCTTTTTTCCTCAGAAGAACCACCCCAAAACTCTAAAAGGACATGGATGAAGATTAAGAAAACTCAGAGGCTCAAAGGTTGAAGCTTGTTCTCCTTTCCCTTTTCATTTCTAGAGAGAGAGAGAGAGAGAGTGTGTGTGTGTGTGTGGTGTTTTCTGCATATTTGTATGAGTTATAGAGACGTTTTTGTAGTATTTGGATTGTATGAGAGGGAGAGAGAGAGTTTGGTGTTTTCTACAGTTTTGTAGGAGTTATAGAGACGTTTTTGTAGTATTTGGATTGTATGTGGCTGAGGGGATTACAGATAGGAGGATGCCAAATGAGATTCAGATGGTTGTCCTTTCAAATTCCAGTGTGTGCATTATTGTGGTTAGAGAAATGACATGCAGTGCAGAGGATTAAAGTGTTGAATAAGGAGGGGGAAAGGGTGGTGCTTTATTTAGCAAAAGTATTCAAAATATAAAGTTAAAATATTTGATTACTTCAGAGTCCAAGGGTCAAACGGTTCGAATCATTTAAATTGAATCTGATGATCTTTATTAACTCATTCTGTTGGTTCTCCTCACATAAATCAAGGATTATGATTCTTCTATGACACAAACCACATGCCCAAAATTTCTGATTCTTAGAATACAGATACTAAGGTCCGGAGAAAATCCAAAATGTTCGATCCCACCGAATCTTAATTTAATTGTGGGTTTAAAAAGAAAGAAAAGCTCTTATTCCAAGCACCAAGTCCTTCTCCCACTCCTTCACTCCTCTGCCTTTTATTGAAAAGTCCAATCATTGTTTCTACTCTTAGCCGATGTTAACAAGCAATTGTTGAGATAATGTTAGTGCTAATGTCGACATTTGCTTGCAAGTTGCATATTGTCGGACGATTAATAATCAATTTGTTGTGTAATAATACTCAAAGAAGTTAACCCCCACTTCTAATTAATTAATGTTAAGTTGGTACAATATTATCTCTCACATTGTTCGTGGATTAGAAACAGATAAATTTTTGGCAATTCTCAAATGATTCATTGTAGACTAAATTACGTATTCTCTATTAACAATTGTCGTCCATACAAAATTTAAACTCATCCTCTTCTTCAGTAAGTGAAAACCGAATGTCGTTAACTCTTATTTGCATTGAAAAATATTTGGAACTCAAATTATAACCATTGACATATGATCACTTCTCATTGTCATCAAATTTGACCAAGTAATTGGCTTCTTTAGCCATCTAGTAAATGTCATCACAGTAATTGGTTAGACAAATGCTAAGGAAACTCTCTCAAAGTGGAACTCTCTGTTACCTCATAATTTAACGTTAATTATCATGTCAATATTATAAAATATTGTGTAAAAAACATGATATAACAGAGAATTCATAGACAATTTTACTTTTAAGATACGCTCCTCAATATTTTTCAATTGGTAAATCATAAAAAATTAAACATTAATCATTCTCTAGTCTCTTCAGTCAAGTCCAAATTTAGGGAAATCTTCTCATAAAAAATGAAGGGTTGGATTCCCATTCTTCTTTCCATATTTTGACAATGACATGGTTATTTTGCCAAGATTTTTGTGACCAGGAGAAGTGCATGTGAGAGGCACGTGAAAATCATGTGGCTCATGATTCATACTGTCGTACAAAAGACTTGGGAGGACTGAGGAAGGGGATGGGTCCACACATGTCTAGTCCATGTGTCCAAATGGGCCCTCAAAATTCTAGGGCTATACACCTGTATGTATATGCCCGGATTGATTAAACCCAGACGACTTCCATCACCTTCCATCATTCCATGCGCATGTTAAACGACCACACAGACTTTCCCAGCCCCCCACCCCCAACCCAATTCTTCACATCTTCATTGATTAGGTGAACATGTGGAGGAGCTTTAACCAAACAAACTAGCTAACTTCTAATGCATGAGAAGAAGAATGCCTGACCACGTTATTCGGATAATATTTTTCACGTAAATACGACTTTTTGTATTTTAATTTCATGCAATGTAAGAATTGTCTTAAATAAGCTTTTTCAAAGTTTTTCTCCTCGCACATCAACACTCGTCTGTATCTATTTTCAATTCTAGTGTCGTGTATGACGAGAGAAATAGAGAAACATATGAAAGTGATTGATAAAAAAACCCAAATGTTGTTTGTTGTTGAGATTGAATCTCACATTGATAGGAGGAATGACTTTGCATATGAAATGGACTAATAAAAAGAACCCAAATCATTCTTTGGTTCTCTTTGCAGGTGTTGTAGTCGGCGGTTTGGATCTTGAGGGTTAGATTTGGTTTGGTGTTTCAAGATATGGTTTGTGTGTGGTTTGGGATTTGGTGCAAGCATGGTGTGCAAAGCGGGTGCGGCGGGCTGCTATTAAGTGTTGGAAATTATGGTTTTCTTTTGTTGCTTTGTTTCTTTTACTGGCCTTAAGCTTGTCTGAGCCTCCCTAATTGTATTTGGTTGTTGCTTACCATTTGCTTTGGCCCTTTATTTTTGTACTTCCTTTTTTAACTTTTATACTGGTTCCTCTTTGTAATGAATTTTCTCTTTTTCCCAAAAAAAAAAAAAAGGAAGAAACATTTACATATTGGTTATGTAGGAGGAGGCAACTCATAAAGGCCTCACTGTGTAGTACAAGTAGTAGTAGTATCACTATCGCTTGTCTCGTGCTTTTTCTCAAGCATCTCACACCAAATTTCAAACAATCGAACCTTGTCGATAATCAGACCGTATGACTTTTCTTAAAGATGATGCCCTAATTTTCTATATTCATGTTGATATTTATAGTTTTACGCTATCTACTATCTTATGCTCGTTAATAAAGCATTCAATTTTTTCTTTTCTTTTTTTTTAAATCAATGCGATTTAGACATGAATTCCGTATGTTATCTTTTCAGACTTAGTTTACGAGAAATATGCGGACACCTAAAAAAAAATAAAGCATATTTAAGTTTGTTTAATCCAGTCCGACATAACACGAGCCGTTGGGTTTGGTGATATTTAAGAGTCCATTGGGCTACAATCATAAATGTACTATCTTGATCTTCAGTCTTATCCACAGGACTACGACGCCGTTTCATTCGTTTCTCAGTTTCGCTCCGAAATGTCCAACTTGATCTCGAGTGAAGAACACTCACTGTCAACGCATCTAGTACGGTCGCGAGGAGAGAGAGAGAGAAGAGAGAGAGAGAAAGAGAGCTCTGATCGGCGGACTCGACAAAATGCAAGATCCGGCCAAACCGAAACCGGATCCGAGCTCGAGCTCTCAGGACTCTCACCACCCACGCATGGCGCCGCCGTTTCCAGACACGACTCCGAGCGCCCCGTTCCGGGGCTCCTACCACCGTCGAACCCAATCCGAGGTTCATTTCCGGATCCCCGACGACCTGGATCTGCTCCAGGACCCGTTCGACGGCCCGTCCGGCAGCTTTGAGGAACTGGGCGGCTCCGAGGACGACATCTTCGGCACCTACATGGACATGGAGAAGCTCGGATCCAAACTCGATGACGGACCCTCGGACGTGAAACTTGAGAATGCCGGCGGTTCCAAGCAGGCGGAGGGAGGCGGCGGGTTTGGTGGAGAGATGAGCGCGAGGCCGAAGCACCGCCATAGCAACTCTGTCGACGCGTCTTTGGATAGCATAGAGGCGAAGAAGGCCATGGCTCCCGATAAGCTCGCTGAGCTCTGGACCGTCGATCCCAAGCGAGCTAAAAGGTATTTCTTGAACCTGTTTCTATCGACATTTCGTTTCTCTTACGTTGTTTGTTCCTAATTTTTGTGTATCTCAAAATTGTTCACGTTTTTAGTTGGATATGATCAGCTTAGAAATAATGATTCGAAATAAAGAACAAATCTTTGGAGGGTTTTGTATTTTCTTCATCATGATTAAGCTAATAAGAAAGGAATAACTAATACAGATGCTGAAACTGCGTAATCTGCGATTTGCGGAAATCATTTCCCTAATTGTAAATGCTAAAGAAGCATTCTTTATCAAAAATGCCGAGGAAGCATTGTGAATTTATCATCTTTCTCAACCGAGAAGTTCGACAACCATTTATGAGCTGGTTGTTTAATAGTAATACCGAAATGATCGAAAAAATGGTTCCTAAAGATAATTGCTTTCATTATTCCCAAGTTTACAACAAATGTCCAGGATGCTTTTCAAACATTTTAGGATGTTTAGTAGGAACATTGTAGTTTTCATGTCTTCTGACTCCTCAAGAAAACCTAGATTCGAAGTACGAGGAGACAAAGGGCCAAGGTCTATCTCAAATACTTTTGGAAAAAGAGAAATCTCAAACAATTGATTAGTGTTATCCTAATAGTTGACAAGGCTTTGAGCATGTAAATCTTAAAATGTTGTGTGTATCCGGGTTGATATACTTCACACTTGGGTCTTCATTATACAACTTAGCATATGCCATATAGCATGTATCTTGTTCAAGTACTCGGCGAGATGGACGCACGTATCTGTAATATATTGGATAATTATAAATTTAATTATTTGAGTGAAGTTCGTGGTGGTGTTTTCAAAGAAAGTTCACCATGTACATATTGTTCCAGGATTTTGGCAAATCGGCAGTCTGCTGCTCGGTCAAAAGAGAGGAAGGCCCGGTACATATCAGAACTTGAAAGAAAAGTTCAGACGCTACAAACGGAAGCTACTACTCTATCAGCACAGCTGACTCTGTTCCAGGTTCTTACTGAAATGCTGATATGGCTTGCCGTATCTGATTATAGTAATGTAGTTCATACAAATACAGTTGAGTGGCACGCTCTAGCTTCATGCCAGCTCAAAGAGATTATTTTGACGTTTTACAGGACTTGTAGTTAAGAGATGTTTGACATTTTACTCAGTACCTGCGTATTGCTTGATCTTACTGACTGCTCTCTGAGAGGTTTTTATTTGTTTTCTTGTGTTATTTTCTAGAGAGATACATCAGGCTTATCTTCTGAGAACACAGAGCTTAAGCTTCGAGTG